CTTCTTCTTCTTCTTCTTCTTCTTCTTCTTCTTCTTCTTCTTCTTCTCCTTCTCCTCCTCCTCCTCCTCCTCCTCCTCCTCCTCCTCCTCCTCCTCCTCCTCCTCCTCCTTCTTCTTCTTCTTCTTCTCTTATTCTTATTCTTATTTTCTTATTCTTATTCTTCAAGATAGTGTTTCTTTGTAGATTTGGAGCCTGTCCTGGAACTAACTCTTGTAGATCAAGCTTCCTCAAACTCACAGAGATCCACCTGCCTCTGCCTCCTGAGTTCTGAGATTAAAGACATGTGCCGCCACCACCTGGCTTTAAATTTTATTTTAATGTATGTGTGTGAGTGTTTTGCATACATTACTATCTTTGCACCATATGCATGAAGTGCCCAAGGAGGTCAGAAGAGGATGTTAGATTCCTTGGAACTGGAATTAACAGATGGTGGTGATCCACCTTGTGGGTGCTGTAAGCAAACAGTGCTCTTAACCACTGAGCCATCTCTCCAGCCTCTGCTTATTCTTTATGATTACATTTAATCCTTGGATAATAAATCATTAATATTTGAGTATATATTATGTTCTTATATTTGGAAAATATGAGTATCTTTCAATAAGCTTATTTATTTAAAAAATATTAATATGTGTACTCATATTTTTGAGGTCAGGGAACAAATCTCTGGAGTTCTGGGGATTAATCTCTGGTTGCTAGGTTTGTGTGACAAATATCTTCACCTGCTGAGTCATCTCTCTAGGCCTGCTTTAAAGAGAGATTTACCATGCAAGTGACCCTGGCAGGTTCCACTGCTGGTGAGAACCACAGGCAGGAAACAGAATATGCCATGCTGACACAGACTGGGTGTAAAGGGGAGGAAGAGAGAGACCGAGAGCTGCATCTTCAGAAGAATGATGGCTGGAGAGAGAGAGAGAGATTGAGAGAGAGAAAGAGAAGAAAGTCAAGACCAGCTTTCCCCCAGGGGAACGGAGAGATTGCGAGTGGGCAGAGCTTGTGTCTTAATGGGACAGACTACTGTCTGAGTTCATCTTGCCAAGTGACAGGGAAGGCCAGCATAATCCTAACATTTTCATCTTTTTCTTACCATAAAAAAGGTGGGAAATTAAAGGGGATAGTAGGTGGGAGAGGGTTGGAGTACTGGGTTCTCGAGACTGCTTCCTGCTTATTTGTGGGTGTCGAAATCTTGGGGGACCTGAGAAAGCTGGGGTGCTGGCCATATCCTGGGGTAGCTGGTTGTTTATTGCTGTGCAGGCTCTGTGGAACTGGCCAGTGTCTCTTGGACTTGTTTGAGGTGAATCCTCTCATTCGGCTCACTGGAATTTACTAGAGTTCTTTGAGTTTGTGAAAGCATAAATTTTATACACATTAGCATTTTTACTGTTTATATTCTATACTGAAATTTGTTTTGTAGAAACGATAGTATACTCATGTCAGAAATGATTGGGACAGGGGCTGGAGAGATGGCTCAGTGGTTAAGAGCACTGCCTGCTCTTCCAAAGGTCCTGAGTTCAATTTCCAGCAACCACATGGTGGCTCACAACCATCTGTAATGAGGTTTGGTGCCCTCTTCTGGCCTGCAGACATTCACACAGAATATTGTATACATAATAAATAAATAAATATTTAAAAAAAAAAGAAATGATTGTGACAGGTGTTTTTGCACAATGAAAAGTATCCTTAGAAGATGACCAAAGAGAATTTAAAATCTTGATCTTGCAGTATAGTAGTGGTAGTATTTAGATTAATAGCTTATCAGAATTTTATTTATTAATGTTAAGACTATGAACAGCAGCATTATGAGAGTTATCTGGTAACTTGCATTTTTGCAACTTAAACCATTTGCTTATACTCTGAAACGTTCTTGTCCTCAGACCTTTATAACTTGTATTTACACACCTTAAGTCACTTTCTTGTACCATGAAACACTTTTAGATTCTCACATCTTGAGCTTTGCATTTTAAAACACCTTTTATTTAAATATAGTAAGAAGTTACACTGAAATCTGTTTTGGGAAGTTATTCCTTTTAAACAGACAAACTTCTCAGCCATCAAATTGCATCAGAGTTCTTGAGAAGGGTAAATTTTTACCTGAGTTATTGATTTAAAAAATGACAGAGAACTTACTTGATTGACTACCTAGACAACCACTCCCTAGGGTCCTCCATGGTCTTTGAGGGCAGGGGCTTTAGGGCAGGAAACCTTTGCCTTCTGCTATTATCATGCGGCCTGCCCAGGCTTTGGAAGATCTTGTGGTTTAAGATCTGTAGGAAGACCAGCCTACTTTGCCCTGGGCAACCAGGCAGTCAATTCCAGTTTCTTGTTGTCCATTGTTTGGAGATATTTAACAGTTTAGCTGAAAGGCAGTTCTTCCCAGTGGTTAGCACTTTCACTGGTAGTGAATTATGGATGGATGTTATTCTGTGCCCATCTGTCTTTTGTCTTTGGAGGAAATGGGGTAGTGCCAGGAGCCAACCTGTCTCTCTGTTACAAAAAGCCTTTTAATAAACATTTAAATGCCATATTCCCCAGATCTCTGAGCATTTGAGGGCTGTCTATTGAGTATGTATTGAGTTATGACTACAGTATAGGATCTGCCTGAAGAGCTGGGTCCAAGCTGAGAGGTTGTAGAGGAATGTTTTACTCAGTCTTATAACTTTTAAACCCAGGTTTTAACTTAGCAGAACAGATTTATACTTGTGAAAGACAAAGAAGTAATGATATTCTTTTGCAATAGAATCTTAACATTGCTTATTTTAGGTTTTGCATGTGGTGTATGTATATGTCCTTATAGGTGTGTGTGGATGTGTGTAGAATTCAGTGGTTGATGCCAGGGAACTCAGTCATTCTTCCTGTTAATTGACTGGTTGAAGAGAGGAACTTATCATGTAGCCCTAGCTTGCCTGTAACTCAAGATGTAGACCCTTCTGACCTTGAACTCAGATATGTCTGCCTCTGCTTCTTGAAAGCTAGAACTAAAGGTGTATGGCCACCTTTAATATCTTTTCCTAAAATTTTTTTTGCATATATTTAGTGTGTGTGTGTGTGTGTGTGTGTGTGTGTGTGTGAGGTCTGCTCGCAGGGATCAGTTCTACCACGTAGGTTCTAGTTGATTGAACTCAGGTTGTTAGCAAGTGTCTTCACTGGCTCACAGTAGTTTTCTGTAACAACAAAGGATGGCTGTGAGTATTTAGAATTTTAGTAGGTCTATGCCTGTGTGAAATGGTGAGTGTTAATTAGTTTTACCATGATAATTCTACTTCCCCTCCAGCCCATGCTGCCTGAACACTCCCAAGCACAAGGCTTATTGGTGTGTGCCACCATGCCCTACTCACTAGAGTAACTTTTTTAGAAAGGATTTCTTTTTTAATTAAAAAATTATTTTTAAATGTGCTTTGGCATTTGGTCTGCATGTATGTCTATGTGAGGGAGTTGGATCCACTGAAACAAGTTACAGACAATTGTGAGCTACCATGTGGGTGTTGAGAATTAAATGTGGGTCCTCTGGAAGAGTAGCTGATGCTTTTAACCATTGAGCCATCTCTGTAGCCCCGATTTCATTTTTTAAAATTTTTATTTTTTAAATTATGTATGTATATACATACAATTATGCTTATATTCATATATATGGGTATGTGTGTATATATGCATGTGTGTATATGATAATGCAGGTGTTTTTGGAGGCATCAGATTTTCCTGGAGCTTGAGTAGTAGGGTTGTGAACGACCTGATGTGACTTCCGGAAACCTAACTTGGTTCCTCTGCAGTAGTAATATGTGCTCTTAACGCTGAGCTCTCTAGCCTTATTTATTTTTAGTGTATCTGTGTGTTGGTATGTGCCTGTGTGCATGGTATCTGAGTAGGCAGATGTCCCTGAAGTTGGAATTAACGTGTGGTTGTGAGTACTGAGAACCAAACTCAGGTGGTCTACAAGAGCAATATATGTTCTTAACTACTGAACCATCTACAGCCCAATTATATAGTAATTTTTGTGCGTGCATCTCTTTATTTATATGTATGAGATAAAGTCTCACTGTATAAATCAGGCTAACCTGGAACTCACAGAGGTCTATCTGCTCTAACTCCCAAGTGCTAGGATTAAAGATATGTGCCACCATATCCAGCTATATGTGTATCTCCTAATAACATGTCATATACCTTAAACATAAGTAGTAAATTTCTTTAAAAAGAATTTTAATAGGGCTATTTAATTTAATCTTCCTATTTAATTTAATAGGAAGATGACTCAGTGAGTAAGGGTATTTGCCACCAAGCCTGATGACTTGAAGGAAAGAACTCACCTCTTCAAGTTGTACTTTAGTCTTTAGTTTCTACATGTGCATCATGATATGTATGTTCATTGCACATACACACATACACACACACACACACAAATAAATTAACTTTAAGGAAGGTTTTTAATAGATATATACTGAATTATTTCTATTGTTGTCTTATTTATATTTATAGCTTATGGCTAAATGAAGAAGTTTTCAAAAGTTTACCTAAAATTGTATTTTGTTAGTATTTGCTTAACTACTCTTGAAAACAAGGCATGAAACAAAGTTTTTATTGAACTCTGTTCTTAGTGACTATTGCAGTAAGTGTTACATGGAATCTGTTGGGATATTAAAATAGGATATTGGACTGGGAGTGCTTGCTTAGCATGTGTGAATTCCTGGGTTTGATCTGAAGACTAGGAGAGAGAATGAGAGTGGAGGGTACATTTTCAGAAGTGCGTGAGTGTGAAAGCTCTGCTGAGATGTCTGTTGAGAGGCTCTCCAGTTCAGAAGGCCTGTCTGTATGTGCTGAGGGCTGAGTGATTAGGATGCATCTCTGCCTCAGAGCTTGTGCTCTGGGGGAAGTAATGGACTGTTACCAAATCATTTCAGGCCAGGGCCATGAATATAACAAAGTAGCTGCTATGTATGTATGCTGCAGAAGAGATGGGAATTGGGACTTATAGCCAGTTCAGGGTGCTAGGGGTGGCTAACCTTGAGTAGTGTTGTTCAGGAAAACAGTGTTGATCCCCTGGATTTAGGAGAACAGATCTTTCATGTTTCTCTTGTTTGGAGTGAACTGTCTTTATGATAATTTCTAAGGTTTGACTTGAAACCCTCAATTCTCCTTGTAAGCACAGATAAACACACATAAAAGCAGATGCATGTATCATTCACACCTAGAATGGAAATGCCTTTATGGGAGGTCTTTTCCTGAAAGGCTCCAGTATGTATGAGTGTAGCTTTTCTCTTTAAAAATGTAATTTTTTGAAGCCACATCTCTCTGATTGTCTATAGATTAAAACTAGCATAATTTCTAAGAATAGAATTCCTTTAAAAGTCTTCTCGGGTTTTTATGTGGCATTAGTTAATGACATTGGGCACTGCTCTGTAGTAAAAGGAGCGCCACGTTCCCACCACCCGGCTTCCGGCCACCTGGCTAGTTTGTACCTCAAAACAACAACACACAAATTGTATTCATTTAAACACTGCCTTGCCTATTAGTTCTAGCCTCTTATTGGCTAACTCTCACATATTGATTCAACCCATTTCTAATAATCTGTATTGCCACGTGACTGTGGCTTACTGGCATGAGTCTAACCAGCGTCAATCTCGGAGAGAAGAGCCATGGCATCTGCCTGACTCTGCTTCTTTCTCCCAGCATTCTGTTAGGTCTACTCCACCTATCTAAATCTATCTAAATTCTGCCCTATCAAAAAGCAAGGCAGTTTATTTGACCAATGAAAGCAACACATAGAAAGAAGACCCTCCTACACCTTTAAGTGTCTCTCACAAAATGTATGGTAGTATCTTGACTCCACAGTCACACAGTTTGCAAAGCCTAGAAAAGACAATAAAAACTTGAGAATTACTCAAATTTGTTAGAAAGATGTTAAGAGTAGGCTACCATCTTTTGATACTTAAGTTGTCAAAAATTGGTAATTCTAGCAGTTGTGAGATTTGTGAGAGTACGCTATGGTGTACTGTCAGTGACATTTTGGTCAGGGCTACATGAGACCCTGTTTTATGGCTCAGTGTATGTCTGTCTCAGGGAAAATACTGTGTGCACTTAGAAAGAGAATGTACTGCAGTTGCTGGATATAGTGTTTTGCTTATTACAATACTGTGGTTTGAACTCAGGGCCTCTCACATGTTAGACAAGTACTTCACCACCACTCCATATACACTTCCACCCTACTTATTTTTATTATGAAGCAGAGTCTTGCTATGTTACCCAGGTTGACGTGGAGCTCATATATATATAGGTTATATAGATTAGGCTGATTGTCTTCTTTTTTTTGTTTTGTTTCTGTTTTGGTTTTTTTTCCCCCCCTTTGTTTTTTGAGACAGGGTTTCTCTGTGTAACAGCCCTAGCTGTCCTGGAACTATCTCTTGTAGACCAGACTGGCCTTGACCTCATAGAGAGATCCACCTGCCTTTGCCTCCAGAGTGCTGGGATTAAAGGCGTGCATGCTAAGCAATCAATACTAACTGAGTCATATCCTCAGCACTAGTTTAGATATTATAAATGATGATTTTTATAGTAAACATTTCCTTCAAGTAACTGTATAGTCTTTAACTTTAAAAAATACATAAATAATGTTTTTATTAAATAAAAATCAAAGTAAAGATTAGCTAAAAGAAAAATTAATCATGAGTAAATTGTTGAGTTGATATTTTAGTGTATGTCCTTTCAGGTTTTTGATGGATAGACAGAGCTGTATGATTGGATGTATATGCATATACACAATGGTACATTTGTACTCGCATATATAGAGCAAAAATGAGATACAAAATGAATTCTTAGTTCTTTAAACCTCTGCTGGGGATTATTATTTTAAGGTGTGTTACTTTTGTTTATGCTGCATTTGTTTAACTCTGTGAAGCTGTGATTCTTTTTTTTTTTAATGATAGTTTTATTTTATGTGCATTGGTATTTTCCTGCATGTATGTCTGTGTGTGAGTGTCAGATCTGGGAATTACAGACTGTTAACTGCCCTGTGGGTGCTTGAAATTGAACCCAGGTTCAGCTAGAAGAGCAGTCAGTGCTTTTAGCCACTGAGCCATCTCTCCAGCCCCAAAACTGTGTTTCTTTGCCTGCCTAAAATACCTGATGGTGCTAATAAAGAGCTGAATGGCCAATAGTGAGGCAGGAGAAAGGATAGGTGGGGCTGGGGCAGAGAGTATGGAGAAAAGGAGAAATCTGGAGGAAAAAAAAGAACCAAGATAGAACAAGGAGAGGAGGACGTCAAGGGCCAGCCACAGAGTAAAAGTAACATATACAGAAGAAAAGGAAAAAGCACAGAGTCAAAAGGTAGATGGGAAAATTTAAGTGAAGAAAAACTAAGAAACAAGCCAAACTAAGGCCAGGCATTCACAACTAAGAATAAGCCTCTGTGTATTGTTTTTTTGAGGGGAGTTGAGTGGTAGCCCCCCAAAAACCAAAAGAGTAAAATATATTGTCATGAATGTATCTGTGTAGTCTTAATTGCTGCAGATTTGCCATTGTATATATACTATGTTTTTATTAACTTTCTATTGGATTCTTAAGATTTTGTAAGCAAAATGTGGTGGCTCATACTTGTAATCCCACAATTTTGGGAGACTGAGGCAAGAATATTGCTGTTAGTTCCACATTAGCCTGGGCTACAGAGTGAGAGATCTTGTATAAAAGTAAACAAACATTTTTGTCTCAGTTCTTCATTACTTGTTTGTCTGTTTTGAGACAGGATTTCTCTGTAGCTTTGGAGCCTGTCCTGGAACTCCCTCTGTAGTCCATGCTGGCCTAGAACTCACAGGGATCTGCCTGCCTCTACCTCCCAAGTACTGATATTAAAGGCAAGCACCTCCACCGCCTGGCTTCAGCTTTTCATTATTATTCTCTGTATTTACCCTATTGTTTGTTTAGGATAACAACCTATGTGAATAATTCTTATGTAAAGGTTTATTCAGTCTTTAAAAATCTTGGCTAGAGACTGGAGATATGGTTCAGTGGTACCCTGGCAGCTCTTCCAGAGAGTCTGGCTTTTATTCCAAGTACTCATATGGTGGAATATGGCCATCTGTAACTCTAGTTCTGGGGAATTTAGCGTCCTCTTTTGGTCTCCATGAGCACCAAGAATGCAATTGGTGCATAGCCATACTTGCAGGCAAAACACCCAAACACATAAAATCCTTCTATTTCCCAGCACCACAAATAAATGATTAAAAATAAATAAATAAAACCGTGGCTAGTCTGTGTTAGGAATTATGTTGAGTGTGTAGTTAATGCCTTTAATGAGTCAGAGGCAGGCAGATCTCTGTGAGGACAAGGGCAACCTCCTCTACATAGAGAGTTCCAGGACAGATAGGGCTGTGTAGAGAGACCCTGTCTCAAAGTGGGGGATAAAGAAATGAAAAATATTCTGAAATTCTCTTATGTCTCAAATATTTACCCAATGAATTTGACACTATGGTTTCCTCATACAAAAACTTTTAACATTTTTCTGAAATTGGATGCTGCCTAGACAACTGTCACATTTTTAATATCTGTATTGTTAAGAGGTATTCACCAGAGAAGACCACTAGACACAGGTGTAAGCAAATAGCAAGTTTTTATTGGCTGGCCTGTAGCTACACTGGGTGTTTGGGACCCAAGTGCAGTTCCAAGCATTTCTTGAGGTGGGATTTTAAACACAAAAAACATATCTTGGGTTACTATACCTCAGTTAGTCAGAAGTGGAGTCACAGAAGCCAAAAGCAAGGTTAATAAATTTAGGGACTTTCATAAAACTGTAAGTCTTTGTTCTTTTTTGGGCAGGTGTTGGCTGCCTGTGTGCTTGGTTCCAGGCCTCAATGATAGTTCCATCATGGTGTCAGTTGTGCTAAGGTTTGGGATCTATTACAGTATATTTCCTTGAGTTAGGTATACCATTATTTACTTCCCTAACCACAGATTTTAGGGTTACTTCTAGAAGACCTAAGTGTGTCATCTACTTTCTTTTTCTAACTAGATGCGAATCCTGAGGTGGCAGTGACCATGCTTCGCTGGATCTATACCGATGAGTTAGAGTTCAGAGAGGATGATGTGTTCCTGACTGAGTTGATGAAACTGGCCAATCGCTTTCAGCTCCAGCTCCTTAGGGAGAGGCAAGTCACAACAGATGTGCCCTGCAAGGTGGAGGCTAACTTAATTGTGCCAAGCTGTGTGAAAGCAGCTTCTGATATGTGAACAACTGCCAGGGTTCTGTAAAGGTGATGTGGGGGAGACTGATTTCTCCCTTGTTTTGTATTACTGGTAAGCTAAATTTTGCCAGTGCTAGTTTGTTGTTCTTTCTTCTGTTGGCTTGTTACCTGAGGCTGTGTGATTGTGTAAACTGACAACTGCATATGGAGGAATAGATTCCAGGGTCCACATTCTTGACTTTGCCTTTCATTCCGTTTTCCTCAACATTTTATTCTGCCTTTGGATAGACATAGCAGATGAAGTTCTTGGATATATACTCCTTTTTGGAAGCACTTTAATGCTTACCTTAATCCAAAGAGTATATGGTTCAGTCGGTTTTGTAGCCAGTATTGATAAGAGCTTACTTCATTGAAGTTAACTGCTTTTTAAGTCCCAAGGAGCTGTCACAGTATGTTTTTAAAGTGCATTTTCTCTGTTCCTTTCCCAAGTTGGTATTATAGGATAACAGGGGACAAAATGCTCATTGAACAGTGTCAGGCAGAAATCTTTGTGCACCTGTTGTATCTCTCGCTGTTGGTGGCCAGCTTGATTAATGTCTTTTTTAAATTTAAACATATTTATGTATATATTGTCTTGTCTGCATGCATGCCTGCACACCAGAAGAGGGCATCAGATCTCATTATATATGGTTGGTTGTAAGCTGCCATGTGGTTGCTGGAATTTGAACTTGAGACCTCTGGAAGAGCAGTCAATGCACTTAGCTTCTGAGTTAATTTTTCAGCCGGATATAGTCTTTTTATTAAACCAACACAAGTGTAAAATCTTTACAGTGTACAAGGTCATTATCCCACAGCACCTATCTGCCCTGGAACTCACTCTACACCAGCTCAGCCTCTAATTCACAGAGATCACCTGCCTCTACCTCCTCAATGCTGGTATTAAATGTGTGTGCCACTATTGTCTGGCTCATAATATTTTTATTTTCATGGGTGCATGAAAAAAAATTGGCTTCTCTCCTGACTGGTTGAGGGACTAGTTTCAGCCATCAAGATATTCTGTTTATTGCTCTATTGCTCCCACCTAGGAGATCCAAGGGAGACTCGACTACTAGGAACTGCTTACTTTGTTTTTACTGTGAGAGGGCTTTTCCTCTGGGATGGCCCCCACAGCCCCACAGGAATCCATAGACATTCTTCCCAACTATCTGTAAGTGATCTGGGATTGAGATATTGTTTTAATATCTAAAACTAATTTAAACATAAACAGGTCCAAGGTGTATAGGGCTAGATTATTAACTCAACTAGCTTTAATATTGAGGCCTTCCAGTTAACTATTATGTTTGTTTACCTAGGAGTATACTCATACTCATTTTAATTAGATTGTTTATATCTTTTCCCCCAGATATCCTGTGCTTTCTCATTCACTATATCAGACTTGCTTATAAATTAAATTGCCTTAATAAAAATGTTCTGGCTTTGTATCGATCATTTAATTAGTATAATGGATTCTTTAATTAAAATGTTTGTTGTTTATTAATTGATTAGACTTCATAATGATCAACATTACCAGATGCTCAAATCTGTACTGTTGAATGTGACTGTTAAGTTGTCTATCACAGCTTTCTTAAGAGCTGCGATGGAAGAGGCCAAGACTAGAGTGAGTACTGGCTGTTTTTGTGTTGTTGGGTTTTTTGTTTGATTTTTGTTTTTTTGAGACCAGGTTTCTCTGTAGCTTTGGAGCCTGTCCTAGAACTCGTTCTATAAACCAGGCTGGCTTCGAACTCACAGAGATCCTCCTGCCTCTGCCTCCTGAGTGCTGGGATTAAAGGCACGCGCCCCCACTGCCCAGCTGAGTGCTGGCTCTTAATGAGGTCACTCGTGTGCCCACTGCTTTTAGGCAGAGAAATAACACATCTCAGATAATAGCTCAAGAGGCTTTGGCAGATATGGAGTCAGTTTCTGTGATAAAGAGGTCCTGATGGTTTGGAAATATTAATAATTAAATCGATGAAAAGTAGGTATCTTAGAGTTTCTGTTGCTGTGAAGAGACATTATGAGAACAGCAGCTCTTACAAAGGAAAGCATTTCATTGAAGATAGCAGCTTTCAGTTAGAGGTTCAGTTCGTTATCATCATGGTGAGGAACATGGTGGAGTGCAGGCAGATGGTGCTAGTGAAGGAGCTGAGAGAGTTCAGTATCTTGCAACCAGCAGGAAGTAGACTGTGACAATGAGTGAAATTTAAGCAAGAGACCTCAGAGCCTGGCCCCACAGTTCCTTCCACTAGTGCCACTCCTTTGGAGCTAGCTTATGGGGACCAATTACATTCAAACTACCACAGAAGGTTTTTATTTTTAATAAAATAAAAATAATAGAAAATTTTTAATTTCTAAATTAAATTTTTAATAAATTTTTAAATTTATTAATAAAATTTTTAAATTTTTAATAAAATTTAATAATAGAAAATTCTATTACAGAGGAGTATGTATAAAAGTGATAATATTTTTCCTGATTATAAATACATGTTCAGTGTATGCAATTTGGAAAACATAGAATTATATAAAGAAAATGCTAATCATCTACAACCCAACCATTATTCAGCTGTTTTTTTCTTTCAGTAGTTCTCACTTCTCACATACATGAGTTGATATGAAAACCAGAAAACTAGCTGAGTGTGGTGGTACATGCTTTAAATTCTAGTGCGTGGGAGGCAAAGGCAGGCAGATAACTAATTCAAGCCAGCCTAGTCTACAAAGGTAGTTCTAGGACAGCCAGAGCTACACAGAGAATCCCTATCTCAAAAACCAAAGAGAAAAGAAACCAGACAGGACTTGTGGGGTGCCTAATTTATATTTTTAAAACCAGATTTAATGGCTCAGTGATTAAGAGCACTGGCTGCTCTTCCAGAGGTCCTGAGTTCAATTCCCAGCAACCACATCGTGGCTCACAGCCATCTATAATGAGATCTGGTGCCCTCTTCTGGCATGCAGACACACATGGAAGGAATGTTGTATACATAATAAATAAATAAATCTTTAAAAAAAAACCAGATTTATAGGCTGGAAGTAACAAGAGGTTAAGAGCCCTTGTTGCTCTTGGAGAGAGAGGACTCAAGTTTGGTTCCCAGGGGCTCACAGTTGCCTTTAACTCCATTTTCTGGGGTTCTAATACGATGCCTTTTTCTGGTCTCTTTGGGCTCCTGCGTGCATATGGACTCACATAGGCGCACATGCACATGAAAATAATGAATAAATCTTTACTAGGTATGGTGGCACATGTCTTTAATCCTAGCACATTGGAGGTAGAGGAGGGTGGATCTTTTATGAGTTTGAGTACAGTGTGGTCTACAAAGTGCATACCAGACCAACCAGGATTATATGGTGAGATTTTGTTTCAAGAAAACAAAATTAACAGCAAAATAGATTGTTTTGTGTTTTTGTGTGCTTTTTGGGTATAAAGTTAAAAAAATATACTAATAACAAAAAATATTTTTCCTCCAGAGGAAAACTAGCCTACCTTGTATTTTTTAAAGAGAAAGTTTGAGCTGAGGACTTAAATTTTAAAACTAAAATTATATATTCTTTTATTGTATGAGTCATACCATTTTTTAGTTATAGTTATTCACATGGCAAGTGACACTCAGGATCCAAATGAGTGAATATGAACTGTTTGTAATTTTTAAGAAAACATCTGTTGTCCTGAAATATATCCAAGTCCCTTAGCAGTAATAAGAAAGACAATATAACTTTCAGAGTCCAGACCGTTGTCTGTACAAGTGTGTAAAGTGCTCTGCAGATGAGAGCTGGAACTTCTGTGGTAAACTATGTGGTAGGCCACCTGCTGATAGAACAATGCTATAGCAAGACCATCATATCTGACATTACAAGTTTCATCGATCTGAAAGGAGAACTTTTCCTCCTAGAACACTTACTCCATATTTGTGATCAGATCAGAATGACTTTGTTACCCTTTGTTGTGATGTGGTGTGATGTGTACTTAGACTGTAGAGGCGCAGAAAATTGAGGTTTATGAATATGCTGTTTTATTTTTGAGATAGTATTATACATTATAGCCCAGACTCCCTGGTACTCATTTTGTAGCTCAGGTTGGCTTCAAACTCTTGACAGTCTTTGCCTTAAGCTCCTAAGTATAGCTGTTTGAGGTGTGTATCATCACCCCTACTGTAAAGATTATGTGTGGTTTTTGTTTGTTTGTTTGTCATAACAGGATCTCTCTATGTAGCCCCTGGCTGTCCTGGAACTTGCTGGACCAGGCTGGCCTTGAACTCACAGATATCTGCCTGCCTCTGCCTCCCGAGTGCTGGGATTAAAGGACTAAATGAACCAGATACTTTTGTTCTTAATGCAGTGTTTCTACATATTGATTTTTATTCTTTTAAAAATGCCATGGGAGGATTGGTGAAATTGCTCAGCAGGCAAAAGTCCTTACTACAGAAACCTGATGACCTGAGTTTGATCCCCAAAACTCACTTTGGAAGGAGAAAACTGACTTAAATTGTCCTCTGGCCTTCATACCTTTTTGCATTGTAGTGTACAAACACACACACAAATAATGAATGAATGAATGAATGAATGAATGAGTAAATAAATAAATAATTTGGTGGGAAGGGGTGGAGACAGGATATTACCATGTAGTCTTAGCTGGCTGCCTCTGCCTCTCATGTGTTGGAGATTAAAGGCATGTGCCACCACAACTAGCCCTAAATTAATTTTTTTATTTTGTTTTGTTTTGTTTTGTTTTGAGACAGGGTTTCTCTGTGGTTTTGGAGCCTGTCCTGGAACTAGCTCTTGTAGACCAGGCTGGTCTTGAACTTACAGAGCTCCACCTGCCTCTGCCTCCCGAGTGCTGGAATTAATGGCATGAGCCACCACTGACCAGCTCTAAATTAATTTTTAAAGAGCACTGGGAGAGGTGCTTCTTTCACCAAGTCAGCAATGTTGCTTAAAGACAGAACACCTAAGGACAGATAAAATAGTTGCATATTTCCTACTGATGGAAAATGACTATGTTCTTGTTTCTAGCCTAGTCTACTTTGTAAGGTTTGAAAATTTGCTTTTTGTTTTTACCAGGTCTATCCCACTGTGCCCTCCTATCTTCACTCTGTCTCACTGTCTTCCTTTGCACTACTTCACGGTCTGTCTTGGTACCCATCTCTTCTTTCTCATCTCCACTCCATGATCTGTCATCTTGTTTGCCTTCCTCCCCTCTTCTCCTTACCTCTGTAACTCTTGTGGTCCTTCTCTACTTCTGCTACCTAAAAAAACTCATCTACTGAGATTGAGAATTCCCTGCTGCTCAGTTATATACAGTAGTATTGAAGTCCATTAATATTTGCTATTAAAGTTTGCAATGTCTGTTTTCCATTTTCCTTCAGGAAAGGAATGTTGGGCCTTAGAAGGGATTAGTGAGGAGAGAGGAAATTAAACTTAGGAGCTTACCTCCGAGTGTCTCATGCTCTGCTGAGTGTACCTAACTTTCCTTCATCTTGAAACTCACAGAATCCCAACATCTCTGAGATCAAGTAGCATCCTTACGTCATCATAGAAGGGGAGACAGGACCACAGAGACTTCATTTTCCTCTCACTGCTAAGCTCTCTGCTATGTGAGTTTTTGTTGAGGTTGGTAGGAAAGGAGAAACAACGGTAGGTTAGACTGAGAGGTCTATGAGTACGCTACCACTGGGCCTCTGTGGCTACCCGTGGAGGTGAATCTGATTGAAGTACTGCTTTAAACAGACGTTTCCTGTCCCGACTGCCCAGTCCCAAACTTAATGACTTCAGAGGTTGAATATGAATTATAAATGCTCTGTTGATAGCTTAGGCTTGTTATTAGCTAACTCTTACATTTAAATTAACCCATTTCTATTAATCTCTGTATTGCCACGTGGCTCGTGGTTTTACCTGTCCTCCAGCATATCTTTTGGGATAACTTTCAGGGAGACTGGGCAGCTGGCTGGCGTCTCTCCTGGCTCTGCCCTTCTTCCCATCATTCTCAGTTTGGCTTTCCCACCTAACTTCCTGCCCAGCTACCAGCCTGCCAGCTTTTTATTAGCCAATGAGAGTAATACATATTCATAGTGTAGAAAAGAATTATTTTGCAGCAACTTCCTTTCTCAGTAGGCCTCATTTTGTGGGAGGTACAATATGGTTTCCAGGTAATCTGTTATGAGTAAATTCTATATCTTCTGTGCTAGGATGTGGAAACAACTTTGTGCCACAGGGATATAGTTAATATCTTGTTAGTCATTCATCAAGTCTTGTTGCCTGGCTTTGTGGAGACACCCATTGTGCCCAGTTTTCTCTTGGCATACTGTGGTTTGATTTGTGTGTGGCACTCGAGATTGAATCCATAGTCTCTTGCATACTAGATCTGACTCATAATTATTTTACCATCTTATAGTTATTTTGGGTGGTCCTTTAAAATGTAATTTATTGAGTTATAAATGTAAAAGTTTTATTTATATGTATATGTGGAGGGGCCTGTATCTGGGGAGACTAGACGAGAGTACCAGATCTCCTAGAACGAGAGTCACAGACAGCTGTGGATATGTGCTGGGAACCAAACTTAAGGTCCTCCTTTAGAAGAACAACTGTTCCTAGGTGCTGAGCTGTCTATTCAGTCCACACCCAGTGTTGCTAGGGATTGAACCCAGGACTTCCCAAATACAAATATATCCTAGACAAACATTCTACCATTGTCTTACTTTCCAAACCCTGAAAGTTTATTCACTTATTTTTATCATCATGATTATTATTATTATTATTATATATATCAGTAAGTATTTTGGCTGCATATATGTCTGTGCAGCACATAAATGTGATACCCATGAAGGCCAGAAGAGGGCGTTGGATCCCCTAGAACTTAGAAGTTAGATGATTGTGTACTTTCTTGTGGGTGCTGGGAATTGGATCTGAGTCCTGTAGAAGAACAGCCAGTGCTCTTGACCTCTGAGGCATCTTTCTAGCCCTCTGAATTATGATTTAAACAAAATAAAAATTTATTTTTTGGGAGGACTTTCAAGGAGGTATTTATTAAGCATAGACCTTTACATTTGAAATCATGAGAGTAATAAAGTTAGCATAATAGAGTTGTCTGAAATCTGCAGCCATGTTCTATACAATTCAGTGCCAAAGAACTGAAGCCAGTCTGTTTGTGTTTGATTGCAAAGTGACCTGTGCATGTGATTCAAAAGTTTCAAGTGATTACCTTTGAGGCTATTGAGGTATTCTGCTTCATATTTTTTTGCACATTATTTTGATTCTGCTCAGAGCAGTGTGGTTAATATACTGTCTAGTACAAGACAAAAGCACACTGTAATCCCAGACTGAGTCAAGAGAAGCCTAACTTCAGAGCTAGCCTGGGCTACATGGTGAGATACCCTGTCTCAAAAATAAAATGTATATGGTCAGTTTTAGTAAAATTATAATAAAAATTGATTTTCATAAGTAAAAATTTGTACATACTTTTTTTTTTATCAAACATACTGTTCAATCTTACACCTTAGTTTTCCTAGACATAGCTAGTGCCTTAATCATTAACTTTGGTTTTGTTATTTATGAATTTTTTTATATGCCTTACTAATACTGTTCATCATTAATGAAAACTCTCTTACAGATGTGAGAAGGGTGTTATGTCTCTGGTGAATGTTAGAAACTGTATTCGCTTCTATCAAACTGCAGAGGAATTAAATGCCAGCACACTAATGAACTACTGTGCAGAAATTATTGCAAGTCACTGGGTGAGTAAGAGACTGAGAGGTATGAACAGAGCTCTCATACTAGCAGCCAGAGATCCCAGTGTAAGCCCTGCTTCTGTAGTGGCCCCCGGGCACATCATCTTTGCAGCTTGTAGTATTGAAAAAGAAGCAGTTGGATGGATGGTCTGTGAGGCTTGTTTCTGTTCTGAAAGTGTTCTGAGGGTTTAGATTGCACCAGGCAGAGGGAGCTGAGGTTCAGGAGCAGATGCCAAAAAGGAGCATCTGCCTTTAGTGTCGTCCTTGAGAGGCTGAGACTCAGCCTGCAGCTGCCCATGGAAGAGCTTCCTCCACTAAAAAAGGCATTCTTACACTTCAGCTTCTTTTCTTGAGTTTTTGTTGTAAATAAGAGACTGTACATTTCTTTGTTATAGTTTTGTTTTTTTATGTGTATGCAGGTGTACATATGTGCTTGTGGAGGCCAGAGTGGTGACTTACTCATGTACCATCCACTGTATTTTGAGATAGGGTTTTTTACTGGCCAAGAGCTTGCCGATTAGGTGAGTCTAGCTGGCCACTGAGCCCCAGGAATTCTCCTGTCTCCTTCCAAGCACAGGGTTTACAAGCCAAGTTTTTTTTTTCCCTTTTCATCTATGTTGTTTTATGAACTAGCTTTTGTTATTATTTTGTATCCAGCATTATTGGAGGAACTTTGGAATTCTAAAGAATGTTTTCTAACAGTTGGTGTGAGTGCCCTTAGTGCCATAGACCTATAATCTCAACTACTTGGAAGGCTAAGGCAAGAGATGCTGAGTTCATGGCCAAGCTGCAAAGTAAGTTCAAGACCAGCCTGAGGAACTTAGCAAGACCCTTTCTCTAAAAAATTTTAAAGGGCTTGAAATTAGCTCAGTGGTGCAATGCTTGCCTAGCATACATGAAACCCTCACTTTCATCCCCAGTACCAATAGAAAAGTGGGGTTATTGTTTTTTTGCTTTAAGATAAGATCTCATTATGTAGCCCAGACTGATCTGGAACCCACTGTGTAACTCAGACTGATCTCCAACTTACGGCAAACCTGCCTCAGCCTCTAGATGTTGGAATTAAAGGCATATACTGCTATACCTGCTTGAAAGCTAGTTTTAAAGAACTGACAGAGTGATAACTATCCCTTTCTGATAGGGGTGCAGCTTTGGAGAACAACTGGGACTCGGTGAATTGTTTGCTGCAGTTCTGATTTGTTTTCAAATTGCCATCTTAGTAGACTTAGTAGGATAAGGACTCCAAGGTCATGGTTGGGCTCCTACATGGCTTGGCTCCTGCTGAAGGTCAGCATTGATGTTCAGCTGTCCAGTCTCTGAGGCTCAGCGGAGCTGTGATGGGTAAAAGTGTGGTACTGAGTGCCTCTTAAATACGGATCCTGACTCAGTCGTTCTCTTACTGTGGACTTTGTGTGAGCTCTGTAACCTCCATATGTTAACACTTTTTATTGTTTTCAATCCCTAGGATGACTTGCGAAAGGAGGACTTCAGTAGCCTGAGTGCTCAGTTGTTATACAAAATGATCAAATCCAAGACAGAGTACCCATTACATAAAGCTATCAAAGTGGAGAGAGAAGATGTGGTCTTCCTCTATCTGATTGAAATGGATTCCCAGGTATTGTAGAAGCATTTCCATTTTTCCCTGTCTCTCCTCAAACCTTAATGCTATCTCGATCCTGCTTCCATCTCTACTGTCACTGAACATTCTAAGAAAGTACTTCTGACATGTTCAGGTTGCTTTTGAGCATTTTCTGTTCTGTTCTGGTCCTCAGAATTCATCAGTCGTAGTACAATCCAAAGCCACATTCCAGATGGCTGTCACAACAGTACCTTACTTCAGGCCCCAATCTTTGTTTTTACTTCTTACCAAAACAAGTTTCCACAAATCCTGTGCCCTAAGCCCACACACATTCTGGGCTCATTGAGAGTACTTGCTGCTTTTGCAAAGGACACGGGTTTTGTTTTCAACACCCACATGGCATCTCACAACCATCTCACAACTCACATCTCACAACTCCATTTCCAGGGAATCTAACACCTTCTGACCTTTGGAGGCATCAGGTACACATATAGTCCACATACTACATACAGGCAAAACACTCATGCACATAAAATTAATATAGTTTACCATAGTAACTGCAATACATCAGTTTATTATTTATCAGCTTTGCCGTTGGAGATCCACACCAGAAGTCACAAGATTAAAATTACGTTGTTTATAGACTGGTCATTTCTGGAGCTGTAAGGAAGAATCCATTTCCTGCTCACATAAGTTGTCAGAATTCTCTAGTGGTCCAAGGTGTCCATTTTTCTTCTGGGCTTAAGACTATTCTCAGCCTCTAGATGTCCTCACAGTCTTTAACTTCAAAGAAGCATTGCTTCCATCCCTAAAGCCAGCAATGACAGGTCAAGTCCTAATTTCACCCCTTAATGACCTAGTCTTCTACTTTCCTGTTTCACTTTTAAGAATGAATGTTGTTACAAAGTAGGGCCCTGTTGGCTGGTTCAGGATTCTCCCTAGCACAAGGTACTTAGCCTTATCACATCTGCAAAGGTACTTTTTGCCATGTAATTGACATCCTCACATTATTTGGTAATTAGGGCATAAACATCTGTGGAGTGGGGATGGAGGGTATTATTCTGCATCCCACACTGTCTTCAATGGAATGCAGGTGGAAGTATGGTTAATCATGGGTGTTTGTACTAAGGAGGACTCTCTGTTAAGCTACCTTTCATGAAAATCCTAACTCTTTGTCATAAAGTTCTCTATGCAGGCTTGTCTTTGGTGTCTGTGTCCCACGTTGTTGTGTCTGATGTCTATCCCCCCCTCTTTTGTCCCTGTATCCTGTGGTCTGTTCCCTCCCTCCCTCGCTGCTGTCTCCATTTTCTCTGTGATCCTTTAATCTGCTCTCTCATCGCTTTTGTTTATTGATACTGAAAGCGTGTGTCTCGGGAGGCCTGGTAAAAAGTCTGTGAATGAAGTTGAATTTGGAGACTAAGCAGCACTATGATGACATAGCATTAGAATTGGCACTTGTAGAGTAAGTGTGATGACATACGTATTTATGGAAGAAAGGCCATTTCTGTGAGTTTGAAGGCTAGCCTGGTCTAAATATTGAGACCCTGTCTCCCAGCACTTGAGAGGCAGGGATTTTAAGTTGGGAAAGATTAAAGTGGGCTGTATTTTCTGTCTGAGTGCTGATTTCCTGACTTCTCTGTTCAGCTCCCTGGAAAGCTGAACGAAATGGATCATAATGGAGATCTTGCATTAGATCTGGCTCTTTCGCGGCGACTAGAGAGTATTGCCACCACTCTGGTTAGTCATAAAGCTGATGTGGACATGGTAGACAAGAATGGCTGGAGCTTGTTACATAAAGGAATCCAAAGAGGTAAGGAGAAATGAATTTTATATTTTTCTCTGTACACAATATACTCTCTGTATAGTTTTGGAGCTTCCTAGACTCAGTCCAGGAATTCCCAAAAGTCCTTGAGTGTGCACACTCAACTAGTGTGGCTTACAACTTGTGATTGTTGGGTCAGAGGGTCTGAAACACTATTGGCTTTGTCAGTTTGTCTGTTCATAGTGCGACCAGGACCTGAGTAAGAGCAACTAGACAGATGGCCTTTAAGAAGTACCTTGGGAGTGGTGTTTTGGTAATTTCTGTGACTTCAAAGTTAGTCTAATCTATATAGTTAGTTTTGGGACAGTCAGGACAACGTAGAGAGACCCTGTCTCATCAACAGGAAAATACAACCAAAAACCTAAAAGAGAAATACCTTTGTGGGCTTGAGCAATGGTTAGTCATTTTAGAGCATTTGCTACTCTTACAGAGGGACTTGATTGCCAGTAAGTGGATTCACAACTGTTTGTAATTCCAGTTCCAGAGGTTTTGATACCTTCTTCTGGTTCTACAGGTAAACATATGACATTCGCCCACACAGACACTTACACATCAAACTCTAAAACAAAAAGTTAAAAAGTATCTTTGGCTTGTGAGCAACATATGGTCTACTTATGTAATTACATTTTCTTCAGGAATTGTGCCAGAAGACTGTTAAAGTTCTTACAGAAGGATTTAAGACCCAGTTATCCAAAGTAATCCTTAATAGAAAGAACAGTGCTGGAGGTACCAATTGTAATACCCGATCTCAAATTATGTTACAGAGATGTAGTAACAAAAACAGCATGTTACCGGGCCAAGAGCAGGCATGTAGACTGATATATATGTGTGTGTGTGTGTGTGTGTGTGTGTGTGTGTGTGTGTGTGTGTGTGTGTGTATAAAACTTTGAGGGCCTAGGAATAAATGCATAGTTGTAGTATCCCTTTTTGAGAAATTTCTCAAAAACATAAATTGGTGGGCCTGGAGGGACAGCTCTGTGTTTAAGAGTGTGTTTGACTTGCCAGCACCCATTTGGTGCCCCATAACTGCCTGTAACTCCAGCTCTAGAGAATCTAACACTTTCTGGGCTTCTCTTTAACAAAGGATGAACCTAGCACCTTTACAAAAGCCATTTCAGAATGGATTTATGACTTTAAAGTAAGATTAGAAACTTGGAAACTGCTAGAGCAGCAGTTCTGAACTGTGGGTCATGGCCCCTTTGGAGTTATATATCAGATGTTTACATTATGATTCATAATAGCAAAATTACAGTTATGAAGTGGCAGTGATAATAATTTTATGGTTGGGGGCCACCACAACATAAGGAACTGTATTAAAAGGGTCGCAGTGTTTGGAAGGTTGAACATCACTGTGCTAGAAGAAAGAGGAATAGCTAAAATAAAATAAGATACAGGCAGAGGCAAGGGTTTTTTTAAACAGTATTCCAGTAGCAAGGAAATACTCCCCTGAATCAAAATGAAGAAGCTTCTATACCACAAAGAAAACTGTCACAAGTAAGAGACAACGGGAGAATGCCTTTGCTGGTCCCATATCAGATAGGTAATATTCAAAGAGTGTAAAGAACTGTAAAACTAAATTTTTTTTAAAGTACCCAGTCCTTAAATGAGCTAAACTGAACTGTCAGCTTTCAAAAAAAGGATATACAAATGGCAAATAAAACTCGAAAGTGTACCACATCTTTAGCCACCAGGAAAATACATATTAAAACTCCTTTGAGAGTCTGTCTCATTCCAGTTTCAGTGGTTGTCATCAGGAAAATAAATGACAGGACAAAGAGTGGCTCAGTAGGTAAATCACTTGTTGCCAGACTTTGCTGAGTTGAGTTTGGTTTCTATAACTCACGTGGTGGAAGGGGAGAATTGACTCTGGAAAGTTGTCACCTGACCTACACCCAGGCAATGGTATGGTGCATGCCTACTTACATACGTACACATGAGATAAATAAATGTTAAAAAATAAAGGACAAGTGGAGAGATAGATCAGTGGTTAAGAGTCAATCATGAGGAGCAGAATTCTAATCCCAGCACACAGGTAGCAAGCTGGGTGTCCTGTGTGTACACCTTAACCCCACTTCCAAGGTAGGCCAGAAACAGATTCTCTTGGTTTTCTGCCTCCAGCCTGTCAAAGAAAGTGTAAGCCCCTAGGTTGGGCAAGAGACACTGCTTTAAAGAAATAGACATGCCTTTAATCCCAGCATTCGGGAGGCAGAGACAGGCGAATCTTGGTGATTTTGAGGCCAGCCTGGTCTACAAGAGCTAGTTCCAGGACAGGCTCCAAAGCTACAGATAAACCCTGTCTCAGAAAACAAAATAAAACAAAACAAAAAGAAAGAAATAGATAGTAAGAGAAGGGGATACCCAACAGCTTTTTCTGGGTCCATTCATGTACACAGACAGGCACATGTATCTGCACACATGTGCGTTCCCTCAAAAAAGCACATACAGATAAATAGCAAAGACATAAAAATCCTCACAGGTGCTAGTAAGGATATGGTGAAAAGGGAATTTTGTAGTATGAGGGGGCTTGTTGGGGTTTCTGTCCCTCCTGTTACCCCAACAGCCGGCAAGCAACAAAGAAAATCACACACAGGACTCCATAAGGTTATAAACTGATTGGCCCATTTGGTCAGGCTACTTATTAGTTCTTATGACTTATCTTAACCCATTATTCTGATCTATGTTAGCCACACAGGCTCAGTACCTTTTTCAGCGGGGGCAGCTTACATGTTGCTTCTTCAGTGATCTGTGCAGGAGTGCCTGAGGAACCTCCTTGCTTCCCAGAATTCTCCTGTTCTCATTGCATCATCTCTACTTCCTGTCTGGTTTTCCCACCTATACTGCCTGCCTGGCCAATCAGCGTTTTATTAAAATATGATTGACAGAATACAGACAATTCTCCCGCATCAGAATTTTGCTTTGTTTTATTTTTTGAGACAGTCTCACTATGTAAACCAGTTGACTGTGAACTCAGAAACAGCTTCCCCCCCCCCCCTTTCTGGGGTTATATTTACTGATAGGAACATAAACTTGTACAACCACTATGAAAAATCAGTGTGTGGATTTCTCAAAAATCAATGAAAGTAAAACTGCTATATGGCACAGGTCTTGGTTATACAAGTGAAAGCCTCTAAGTTAGTACACAGAGGTATTTGCATATGTTTGTGATGATAACCAGAAAATGGATGGTTTGTTCATCAACCAACAACACCGTTGTTCCCTCAGCTATGGTTTTGTTCTGTAGCAGAATGTACTATTTGAATGTTGATGATGCTGCAGCTGCATCTTTCTCCCCTTTCTGGGCAAAGGTTTCAGGGTAAACGTCCTTCTGAGTTATGTGGAGTGTCAAGCTTGCTGGCTAGTAGAGAGGAAAGTTTTACTCATCACTAGGTAGGAAACTCTTAGAGCAGGTCTCTGTGGAGAGTAGATGCATTTTCCCAAGCACGCACAGCTCTTAGTTCTGGGTTTGTGCTCACTTGGGAAAGCTTCTACCACGTAGGGAATTGTTCTTTCTCACTCTGTTTAGTATCTGAGGTGTTTATTTTGGAAACAGATTCACTTGTTACTTAAAAAAAAAAAATTTAAGTTCCTTTCCTCTCTGGGAGCTGAATTCTTGTTTCATTAAAAACATCTCTGGTGAGTTATTAAATATTTGGGTAATTTCTTAGTTACAGGAATTGCCAAGACAGTTTTGATGTGTGTTCTAGAGCAATTTAATCTTTCATTCTGAATTTGTGAAATGTCTGGAAGTATGTGAATTACAGTGTAAATATAGCAAACTTTAAAAGGAGTATGGCATGGGAGCGTCACTTGTCCACACTTGTATAGACTTTCCTTGTCTACAAAATGGGAAAGGATCTTTCTGCTTTACCAGGCTGTTAGCACAGTGAGACAGGATTGGGATGCGCCCCATACAATAAATGCCAGTTGACTGATAGAGTAAACATGGTAGCCTTTATCTTGCCTGGGCATTGGAGTACCATAACCAGACCCTGTAGGAATTGTTATCTTTTCATTGAAGTCCCTCTGAAACATTGGCTAGCTTAGAACACTATGTGGTAGAGCCTAGTCTCAGACCTGCAGTGGTCCTCCTGTCTCTGCCTCCTGTGTTCTGGGTTTTAGCTATCTATGTGCCATCACCCATCTTGAGGGATTGTTTGACTTTGCCTTCTTCAACTTGCAGTTAATTACCCAATAACTGAGTGCTGCCTTTAAGTTTGGCTACTGACCTTGCTTCTAATTCATTATGAGTGATGGAGGTTTGCTACTAGATGAATGAGGTCCAGATCTATTTACTTGGAGATGCACATTAGAATCCACAAAACATTAGTGGTCATCTTACTAAGCAAATGCATCTGTCTGTCAGAAGAATTGAGTGATGTCAGTGTCTGTGAGGCCATAGACAGTGTTAACATCTCCTCTGATTAGCCTGACCTATGCATGATTATGAGTCCTTTCTACTATTTAACAACCTGCAATAACCTGGACTTTCCTGACCAATTGTTTGTAGTAATTTTTAAAAACCAGGACTATTAAATATGGTTGTTCCCTGAATAAAACTGTCATAAAGCTGAAAGAAAAGTTGTGTGTGCATTTATAAGTTGTTTAATATTGGTTAGGAATATTTTTATGTGGAAAATGATGACAATAATGCCTCATTTGGGGCTGGAGATATGGCTCAGTGATTAAGAACACTGGCTGCTCTTCCAGAGGTCCTGAGTTCAATTCCCAGCAACCACATGGTGGCTCACAACCATCTGTAATGAGATCTCGTGCCCTCTTCTGGCATGCGGGCATACATGGAGGCAGAATGTCATATACATAATAAATTTAAAAAAATTAAAATCTTTAAAAAAATAATGCCTTATTTAGCTGGTATTGTGGGTGACTGAGGAAAGCAAGTAGCTAAAAAGTTTTCAGTAGGAGGTACATTTTCTGGTGCTGAGACTCAAACTTGGGACTTTAAGCATGCCGAGCAGTGGTTGAGTGCAATTCACACTCTGGCCCTGTCAGATTGGAAGTGTGTGGAGTGCTGTTTCCTCATTGGTAAGAATCTTACCTAGGTCCTTGCTTCCAGTTCCCTGCTTTGTCCTATTTTCTGCATGTTTTTCTTCTTGTTTATTTACCCTCTAGACTGACTTCCCTTAATTCAGCTTTTTTAGGAATTCAGATAATTCCTAAAGACCTTATTTTTTGCCAAAAGTGCATAAAATGTATGATTATAAACTATGGATTGATTTTTTGGGTCTAACCTTTAAGTAAATTTGATTTAAAGTCAGTAAATCCTTTACGAAAACTTCAGTGATCAAAATGTTAGCTGGGAATGTTGGGTTTTGCCTGTAATCTCGGCACTTGGGAGGCTGAATGTGAGAGTGCTGCCAATTAGAAGCCAGATAGAGGATGGTTTCTTTTATGCTTTCTGTGTGAATCTAAACTTCTGAAGGTTTTCCTGTACCTGTGTCCTCATTTCTGTTTTTAGAAGTAGACATAGGACTCTAATAAGAGAGTTTAGTTATCTGAAATCAGAATTGATTGGAATTAGAGCCCATCTTTTAGTGTGAAACCCAGTAGCCCAGAAGTTCATCTATTTTCTTCTCCAGTATTTTTTTTTTAAGCTAAGGCCAGTTTCTAAATTGGTTAGTTCCAGGTAGAAGCTAATTGGTGCCACCTAGAGGTCACTGAGAAAAATAACTGCTTCCATCACCCACTCACCCACCCACCCACCCAGTGAGAGAGAGAGAGAGAGAGAGAGAGAGAGAGAGAGAGAGAGAGAGAGAGAATCCATGGATGGCAGATCTCAGTTGTGAACCACCATGTTAGTGTTAGGGGGTCCTCAGGAAGAGCCACCACTGAACCATCTCTCCCACCCAAGTCTGTTATTGTTAAGATAGTGAAGACATCTTGAATATCTTTGATCATCATGAATAATCAAAAGGTAGGAAAAAAAAGCCTTTTGAGTTAAAATGTAACCATGGACTATCATGGATTTCCACCTACAGCTTATCCAAGAGATTGCTTCAGACACTACCAGATGTCCTTCTGTGTCTGCAGTTATCTACTTGCTGCCTTCAGAGGAAATAGTGGCCACAGCAACTGGTCATTGTCATGTCATTGTGTGTTCTGTTATTTCTTTCAAGGAGATCTCTTTGCTTCTATATTCCTCATTAAGAATGGGGCCCTTGTCAATGCTGCCACATTGGGGGCCCAGGAGACCCCATTGCACCTTGTAGCATTGTATAGTTCAAAGAAATACTCAGCAGATGTGATGTCTGAAATGGCGCAGATTGCGGAGGCCCTCCTGCAGGCTGGTGCCAACCCCAACATGCAGGATAGCAAGGGCAGGTGAGTACCTCTTATGGTGGCACATAATTGACATACACAGTCTTTGACATTATTAAATCTGATGCTTATTGAAACTTCAAGCATTTAATTGTCATACAAAAAGTGTCATGACCAAGATTAGAAGCATTTGGGGAAAACATTTGCAGCCTGGCTAAATAAAGAAGTCTGAATTTCTAAGGAATTCATAGCCTTTTCATGTTGAAAACAATCACAGAGTGGTCTTCTAGTCAGTATTTACAAGGACTTTCTTCAGCATTTTTTAGGATCATTTGGATAATTTGAAGAGGAACTATGTTGGAAGGAGAGGGCCCCTTGTTTGTCCCAGCCGCCCGGCTAGCTTACACCTGAAATAACCACATAGAAACTGTATTAATTAAAACACTGCTTGGCCATTAATTCTAACTTCTTATTGACTAACTCTTACATATTAGTTTAACCCATCTCCATTAATCTGTGTATCACCATATAGCTGTGACTTACCAGAGATTCTAACCATCCTTCTCAGGCAGATGATCCATAGCTTCTCTGACTCTACCCTTCTTCCTCCCAGCATTCAGTTCTGTTTTCTCTGCCTACCTAAGTTTTGCTCTATCAACTAGGCCAAGGCAGTTTCTTTATTTATTAACCAATGAAAGCAACACACAAACAGAACCTCCTACACCAGAACTACTATCTCAAGGCAACCTGTTTTATCCCTCTGAGATATAATGGTTAGAAAATTCCCTATTTTAGCCAGGCGGTGGTGGGGCATGCCTTTAAGCCCAGCACTCGGGAGGCAGAGGCAAGCAGATCTCTGTGAGTTCAAGGCCAGCCTGGTCTACAAGAGCTAGCTCTAGGACATGCTCCAAAGCTACAGAGAAACCCTGTCTCGAAAAACCAAAAAAAAAAAAAAACAAAAACAAAAACAAAACCCAAAAACCAATTCTGCCTTATAAATATCTTAACTCTAGAGTGTGTTACCTCCTTGCATAACCCTTCCTGTATTTGGTAGTGGTTCTGTTTATGTTTGGTGTTTTATATTTTTATAAGTTTTTATTTATTACTTTATGTGTATGAATATTTTGCCTCCATGTGTATCAATGCTCCACATGCATGCAGTGCCTGTGGAGGCCAGAAGAGTGTGTAGGATTCCCTGAAACTGGAGTAACAGGTGTTTGTGAGCCATCATGTAAGTTCTAAGAATCAAATACAGAGTAGTGGTCCTCTGGAGAAGCAAGCAGTACTCTTAACCACTGAGCCATCTCCACCCCAGTTTTGTTATTTTTGTATCTTCTCAGGAGTTAGTTTAGGATTCCTTGTGGTTTAGAATTGTAAGCAAGCTTGCCTGTCTTGAGGCAGAAGTGTGGGAGGCTCTGAAGTGCAGTTTAGCCACTTGCCTCGGCAGCCTTGGGCAGGGACACAAGTGTCATTCACCATCAACTCAGTTCAGTGTTTGAAAACCCATCCAGGATGTTGGATTCTGCGAGGCTGGTTGTCAGGAGAGGGTCTGTGAAGTGGGTCATGTGCAGAGATAAGATGGTCCAGGAACATGATGTTGCATAGGAATCATTCATTCTCCCACGTAGTTAATATTCTTCATTCCTTGTGCTGATTCTTTGGGATTCCCAATTGCAATAAACTTGGACAGTGTGTCCATCTGGGGCAGAGGCCAGGCGCAGGGCCTTGTGCTTAGGTAGCAGCTTTTTAAGGCACTTGAGTACTAAATAAACAGGTGGTGGAGAGCAAGTTCAAATCGACCCAGTTTTGTCTCATTGCTGCAGTGTGCTCCTGTGCTAATAGAGAATTACAGCGAAGAACAGTTTCATTTCAGAGTGGTGGAGGGTGGGGAGAGAAAGGGTGCAGAAGCTGCTGTTTAACACACTCCTTCGGGAAGGAATTAGAACTGGAGTAGAGAGCCGTGGGCCATAGAAGCAAATCCATTTTCATGTTTTGATTCTTGGCTATAGTTTTGGAAAACAGAGTAATGGAATTGGTTGTAGATGGTGATTTTTACTGAGGATTCTAGTGTCTGGCTTGGTCTGTCTTGAATTGATACTTCTATTAATTCATTTTATTCTCTTTTACCCACAGGACCCCTTTACACTTGTCCATCGTGGCCAGGAACGACTATGTGTTCAGTCAGCTGCTGCAGTGTAAACAGTACGTAGGGCGACCTGGAGAAATGAAAAGCGGTTGTGAGGGTGGGATTGTGAGTGAAAAATCTTTCTTTATTAATATTTTTGAAAAACTATTGTTCGTTTGTTTGAGATGAGGTCTTATTATGTAGTCTAGGCAGGCCTGGAATTCAAAAAGTCCTGCTTCAATCCCCCAGTTACTGAGATTACTGGCTATCTCTCCTACCTGAAATTTTCTCTTAAGATACTCTACAGTTACAAACTTTAAGTAAAATAAAAATTTGACCATTAGAAAGTACAGGGAGAGAATGAACTATTATTGGCAGCAAGGAGAGACTGGAAACTGTTCTGTCATTCACATCATCTCTTTATTTCAGGTTAGATTTAGAGCTGAAGGATCACGAGGGCAGCACTGCACTCTGGCTTGCCGTCCAGTACATCACTGTGTCTTCTGACCAGTCTGTAAATCCCTTTGAAGACCTCCCTGTGCTGAATGGAACATCGTTTGATGAAAACAGCTTCGCAGCCAGGCTCATTCAACGCGGCAGCAACACTGACGCTCCTGATGCGATGACGGGTAAAACGGTGGGCCCAAGGAGTGAGGCCAAGGCTGAAGTCTCCAGGAAATGACAGCTAGATGAGTTTCTTATTGTGGTTTGATGACAGGCTCTGAATGCATTGCTGGCCTCAGACTTGCTAGATAGCCCAGACTAGCCTTGACTGTGCTATCCTCCTGCTTTAGCCTGAGTGCTGGAATTACAAACATGTGCCACCATGCCAGCTTGTAAAAGGTTTTTAATAATAACACAGAAATTAAAGGGCTTACTGTTATGAGAATTATTTGCTCTGTATTTTAAAATCAGTAATGATCCATTGTGGTTTGTTTGTTAGTTTATTTTAATCCCGTGCCCCAAATAATTTAGTCAGACATTAGTTAAGTCTTATAAGCTAAAGCATACTTGGTAAAGTAAGGCAATGATTCTTTTTTTTTCCTGTTTGTTTGTTTGAGACAGGGTTTCTCTGAGTAACAGCTTCCAGGAACTTGCTCTGTAGACCAGGCTAACCTTGAACTCACAGAGATCCACTTGCCTCTACCTGCCGAGCGCCACCACCACCTGGCTAAGGCAATGTTTCTTAGACTCTGTAGACTCACAATTCCTTTTACCCTAATAGAACTTAAATTTGGTGAGTTTTTATTTGGATAGTCATACCTTTACTATTTACTGGAGTCGGGAAAATAAAAATGGTATTTTTTTCTTTTGTTTTTGGTTTTGAGACAGGATCTTGTTAGATAAATATAGCCCAGCCTGGACCTGAATTGGAGATTCTCCTGCCTCAGCCTCCCAAGTACTGAGATTACTCTAATCAGCTTTGGGCTGCTCTTTCTTGCATCTCCCTTCACCTCTTTCCCATTCTTCGTCCTTCCATTAGTAAGCAATGGTGTTGTCCCCTACCTCCACCCATCGATTAGTCTCTGAGAGTCTTATTAAGTTTTTTGAACTCTTGAGATGATATTTTACTCTATAAACTTCGAGTTTTAGCTTATGTTTTGTTTTTGAGGCAAGTTCTAATGTAGCTCAGACTGCTCTCAGATTTGATGTGTGGCTGAAGATGACCCTGAACTCTTATCCTCATTTTTAGACTTACTTATTTTATTTATTAGTGTGAGTGTTTTTCTCACATGTATGTATGTGCACCACATGTATGCCTAGTATCTGTGGAGTCTTGACTGGATAAGTATTGTCTGGAAGAGGATATGGGAGTCCCTGTAACTGTAATTACCAACAGTGAGCCATCATGAACCAACATAATTTATTGATTAATATGTTGTCACAATGGCATTTCTATGTTTTTAGTTTTAACTCCTAGCTCTCTGAGTAGAACTTACTGCCTTTAGCTTTTGTTACCTACTATGAGGATTTCTTTACTTTTTTTTTGTTGTTGTTGTTTGTTTGTTTTGTTTTTTCGAGGCGGGTATCTCTGTAGCTTTGAAGCCTGTCCTGACCAGGCTTGCCTTGAACTCACAGAGATCCTCTTACCTCTGCCTCCCAAGTGCTGGGATTAAAGGCTTGCGCCACCAATGCCTGGCTCTTTACTTTTTTTTTTTTTTTTTGAGTCAAGTGTAATTTCATTGAATGATCTGTCCTGTTTCTTTAAGAGACATGCCCCGCCCACTCCCCCCTCTGTCCTTGAGGCAGGTAGATCTTCCTTCCTGCTTGCAGCCTGAGTCTCCCTCTCTTAGAGGCAGCTTCTGCCTCTCCAGACTTCTTGCCTTCCCCCTCCTTTTTCTTTCCCTCCCTCTCTGCCTCTTTACCTCTCTGCTCTCCTCCTTTTCTCCCTTTCTCCTCCATAACTCACTAAATAAATATCCAACCTCACCCTCCATGATGTGCTTATCCATCTGTCTCCCTGGGACCAGCTCTTTGGAGACCTGCGGCATGGTCTCGTGGCATGCCCATCTGTCTCTCTCTCTTTGTGGCCTGCTGCAGCCACTCTGGGAACTGTGCCATCCCTACCTGGGACTGGCTGCTCTCGCACATGGCCTGCTGCAGCCGTTGGGGATCTGCAGCATTTTTAATTACTCCATTACATCAAAGTCTTGCTGTGTTGTCCTACCTGACATAGAGCAAACACAAAGCAGAAGAAACCAAACCCAGGTCATCTGCAAGAGTATTCAGTGCTCTGAAGTTCTCCCCCCTTTATTGTCTTGCTTTTACCTTTCAACAGCAGAGATTCTGGGCATGTATTATGCCCAACAGAAGTCGAGGTCAAAATGACTGTTACTATAGATGAAGTCACTTTCTGTGAAGGGAAAGAAAAAAATGATTTAAAGACAAAGTAGTGTTTTGTCCATTTCTTTTTCTATCTTTATTTTTTTTTAATTGAAGGTGCATACATGCTCGCACGTGTGTGTGTGTGTGTGTGTGTGTGTGTGTGTGCACGTGCGCACGCACGTGTGCACGAGAGAGAGAGAGAGAGAGAGAGAGAGAGAGAGAGAGAGAAAGTGAATATGTGGAATGTGGAAATCAGGAAGTCAGGTGATATTTTTAGTCTTAATTCTTAAGGCAGAGTCTATATATTCCAGGCTAGCTATCCACTCCTAGCTCCTCTTTCCATCTCACTGTAGAAATGCTGGCATTGCAGTTGAATCCAATGGCTATTTACATGGTTCTGGGGATGCCAGAACCTGGTGACACACACCTTTCATCCCAATACTCAGAAGGCAAAGGCAGTTGAATCTGAGTTCATGGTCAATCTGGCAAGTTTTAGATCATTCAGGATTATAATAGTAAGGCCCTCTCTTAGACAAAAAAATAATAAAACACAGCTCTGGAAATGGAATGTGGGTTGTCAGACTATATAGCAAGCATGTTGCTTGACTGAGCACTCACCTTGGCATTGCTTTGTCCCATTTTGTTATTTTTCAGTTTTAATATTCATTTTATGTAGATTTTCAAGTACTACAGCTTCAGTATATGAGATTGTTTTTTAAAAGACTTATTTTTAGTTTTAACTTTGAATACACCTGTGTGTCTGTATATGGTATGTGCAAATGTGTCCAGGTGCCTGCTGAGGCTAGAAGAGAGCATCAGGCCCTGCCCAGCTGGAGGTATTGCGGTCGTGAGCCGCCAGACTGAACTCAAGTTCCCTGTAGGAGCAAACACATGCTCTTAACCACTGAGCCATCTCTCTAGTGCCCAGAACATGTTGTCTTTGGAAATGGAGTTGGAAACACTGTTCTGGATCCAAAAACCATGTGGAGAAGATTTTATTTTCCTAAGTGTTTTATTCAGAAAATAGTTACAGTGCTTAGCAAAAATATGCCTCAGCCAACCACAAGCTTATAAGGCTCTAGGAATAGAACTGAAGCATTTGATGAGCATTTTCTAGTATAGCTACAATGCATGAGGTCTGGACATTGCTGCATATCTTTCTGGAACATTTGAAAACATCTCTAGACCTTTTGGTTTGGTTTTGGTTTGGTTTTTCAAGACAGGGTTTCTCTGTATAGCCCTGATTGTCCTGGAAATCACTAGACCAGGCTGACCTTGAACTCACAGAGCTCCTCCTGCCTCTGCCTCCTGAGTGCTGAGGGCTGGAATTAAAGGTGTGTATCTCCACCACCCAGCTCTTTTTGTTTATTTGTTGGTTTAAGCTTAAATTTTATTTTATATGTTATGGATATTTTACCTGTTCATATGCCAGTGCACCATGTGCATGCCTGGCGCCCATGGAGGCCAGAAGAGAACAGTGGATCCCTTGGAACTAGAGCTGTAGACAGTTGTGAACAGTCCAGTGGGTGTTAGGAATCAAACCTGGATCCTCTTGAAGGCTCCATTGCTTGAAGAGGAGCCAGTGCTCTTCACCACTGACTCTTCACCACTGACTCTTCACCACTGACTCTTCACCACTCTCCAGCCCCTAAACATTTTTGATTGTCACAGTTCAGAGCTGCTATCTGGTGGATAGGAGCCAGGAATATTGCCAAATGTTATACAACTTACAGAGCAGGCCCCTGCTGCAAAGGCTTCCCTCAGAAAATGTCAGCAGCACTGCTGTGGTGGTGGTGGGGACCCTCGCCCTTACCCAGGCCTGACAAGGAGTGGTGATGAAGTGACACCCACTGTCTGGTGTAGGCTGACCAGTGGTGGTAAGGAAGAGCAGTTGTGCAGGGTGGAACTGAGTCCATTTCCATGTAATGGGAAAAATGAACATGACTTCTTTCTTGTAGGAAATTGTTTACTACAGCGGGCAGCCGGGGCAGGAAATGAGGCTGCGGCTCTTTTCCTGGCAACCAGTGGTGCCCATGCCAACCACAGGAACAAATGGGTAAGTTTGGAAGGGCAGCCTGGGGAATGACTGTGGTCTGTGAAAGAAATGGCAGAAAAAATGAAATAGTCTCTTTTTTTTTCACTTTTGTGAATGTACATTCATATGACCAGTGTAAAAGGGACTCTTGTATGTCCTCAAAGATTAGTTAACCAACTTGGTCAGCAACCATTGTATAGCCATGTCCTGAACTAGATCCTGTAGACTTTGTAATGGGATAGAAATTAGCAAACAAGAATGTAAACAAGTGTTGAATAGCTTCTTGGGTAGAGGAGTGGAACAATCATAGACATGGAAGACCTGTCTGAAGTGGCTAGAATGGTGAGTATGCCATTGAGTCAAGGCTGGAGCCAGGCTGCAGGTTGCCTGGATAGTCAGTGATCTGTTCTTACCTCTCACATCAAAGTTGACAGGTTTCAAAGGAATTATACCAACAGGATATACCTGCTTAGGATTCTCAGGAAGAAGGCGAGAGAATAGTGTTTTTGATGGACCCATGAAAAAAAGGGGAGTTGACTAAGAGGAAGAACTGGTGTAGGGGAATAAGTTTCATTTCAACCATATTCTTTTTGTTTTTGTTTTTTCGAGATGAGGTTTCTCAGTATAGCCTTGGCTGTCCTGGAACTTGCTCTGTAGACCATGCAGGCCTTGAACTCAAGAGATCCACCTGCCTCTGCCTCCCTAGCGTTGGAATTAAAGGTGTTCCCCACCGCTGCCTGGCTTTTAATCAGTATTCTTCACATCCTTGAAGGCACTGGAAATACTGAGTGAAAAGATAGGCTGGAGACCTGGTAGAAGTCACAGGAGTAGAGATGGTGGGGATGTGACTCAGTTGGTAGAGTGCTCGCCTAGCTTACATGAATCCTTAGATTTTATTCTCAGCAATTCATCAACCAGATGTGGTTGTTCATGCCTGTAATACAGACACTCAGAAGTTGAAGGCAGGAGTGTCAGGAGTTCAAAGTCTTTCTCTACAATATAATGAATTTTAAGCCAGTCTAGGATACACACACCATGTCTCAAAAACAAAAAAGAAAATGAAAGGAGTAGACAAGGACACTGATGAACATGTGTAGGGAGAAGGGTTGAGCAGGAGGTAGCCTGGTCAGGTACCTATAAGCTTAGGAAGTAAGACTGTCCTTTTGACAATTCCACTTTTTAGGGTAAAAATCATCCAATTGTATGTTTAGATACATTATAAACTTACACATACACAGAAATGAATAGGTGTATTTTCTTCCAAATATTCAGTCATGGGAGAGAAACATGAAATTCATAATTTAGAGGAAGAAAATTGTGTGCTGGAGGTCAGGAGGAAGGCAAGACTTAAAATGTTCTCATACCTTTGAGTACCAAGTCTGGTACGTATAATACCATTAAAATGTGTTTAGTGTTTCTCCCTTGAAGCCCCTCCTACCCTCAGGAGTTCTTTCTCACCTGTTCTTAATAAATCTGTGTTTTAGAGAAAATCCCTTTAATTTTAAAGTTAGGGGAGGAAGTCTTAATCAGAGTTCTAGATGAAGTTGATTTGAGCAATTTAAATCAACAATTCCTCGTAAATGTTAAAGAAAGGTGGCTAGGAAGTAGCTAGCCCTGCGTACCTCAGGCCATGGGGCTGTTCTTGTTTTCTAGTATTGAATTTGGTGATACCTGGTAATTGTTGGCTATTGTTAAATAGAGAAATAAATTCTTTGCATAATTAGGGGAAAAATGTAAGAACAAAGTAAAGGGATAACCAGGGTGGTCCTGGAAGAAAAAAGACAGAAAGATGTTTGGGAAGACACTAGACAAACTAAAGGTTGATGGTACTGAGGGAGACTCATGAGGTCAGCTTGTAACAGGAGGAACCTAGGGCTGAGATTGGCAGCGTGGTCTACGTTTTGGTACTTCCATTTTCCCTATTCCTTTGCATCAGGAACTCCTAATTCCTTACCAAAGTGATTTGAGCTTTCGTTTCATTCAGGGAGAAACTCCTTTGCATACAGCTTGTCGGCATGGCCTGGCGAACCTCACAGCAGAACTCCTGCAGCAAGGTGCGAATCCAAACCTGCAGACAGAGGAGGCTCTGCCTGTGTCTAAAGAGACTCCAGTCCCAGTGGGTTCTGCAGATGGCATCTACCTGCAGACACCGCTGCACATGGCAATTGCCTATAACCATCCAGATGTGGTGTCTGTCATCCTGGAGCAGAAAGGTAGGTGGTTGGGTATGATGCCCATCATTATTAGCTGTGGAAAACAGTTGTTTGGGCAGTTGATTTCAGAGACAGTTGCTTCCATTTGTGAGTCTTATATAGCTAGTTCTGCAGTTATCACTTACAGTACAGTACAGTCTCTGTTCTCATTGTGTGGGGAATGTTTAAGTTCTAAGAAAATGAATTTACCTTAAAAATTTTGCTCCAAACATAACAGGTCTCTGGATTTCCCTTCCCCAAATAGAAAATGAATTTACCTTAAAAATTTTGCTCCAAACATAACAGGTCTCTGGATTTCCCTTCCCCAAAT